ACTCTTTCTAGAGTCTCAGCATCTTTTTTACATCGTGGTGACCAAAACTGGATGCAGTATTCCAAGTGTGGCCTTACCAAGGCATTGTAAAGTGGTATTAATACTTCACGTGATCTTGATTCTATCCCTCTGTTAATGCAGCCCAGCACTGTGTTGGCTTTTTTGGCAGCTGCAGCACACGGCTGGCTCATATTTAAGTGATTGTCCACTAGGACTCCGAGGTCCCTCTCACAGTTACTACTATTGAGCAAGGTACCCCCTATCCAGGGGTAGGCAACCTCGGCTCTTTTATGACTCATGGACTTCAACTCCCAGAATTCCTGAGTCAGCTATACTGACTCAGGAATTCTGGGAGTTGAAGTCCATGAGTCATAAAAGAGCCGAGGTTGCCTACCCCTGCCCTATACTATACCTGTACATTTGGTAACAGAAAGTAATTACGTTCGCCCCAAGAGGCTTTTTCCAAAGGCAACTGGATTTTAGTTCTGACCTGGAGAAGCTTCTTGGAGAAGGGAAACGTCTTCAAGGAAAAACAAAATCGGCCTTTTGAAAAAGCCCTTTTGGGACAACCTTGACCTGGATGACTGAGAATCTCCACAGACATTTAATTAAATTCCCGTTTCCTGGATGAACGTGGAATGGCTTCGCAGAGAGGATATAGATGGCAACCCCCACCCAGGCTATCAACTGAAAAAGTAAAGGTTGAAGTTAGCTACCTTAACATTTTAACGTTTTTCAGATTGCAATGTTCTTGGCCCTAAGTTCACATAAAGCTGGTCTTTTCTTTATCTTCTCTGTCATCTTCCTCAACAGCTGTGTACCTATGTAATAATGTGGATTCTACACCACGATCCTACTTCTACAAATGCCTATATACAGAATAGATTTGTTGATTGGTTGAGGGAAATTTAATTTCCCTATTCGTGTTGGAAGGAAAATATAGTGCAGTAATTTTCAGTTGCCTTTCACTCAGGATTACGTCGTCATAGGACTTATGCGCTTAACACCACGGAAACAAATAGTATTGATAGTGACCAGAATTTGATTGGAGACACCACTAAAAAAAGGAGATTTTTAAGAGCCACGATGGTTTTCATGCAAAGGGCTATCATGGCTACTCTTTAAATGGTTGGGTGGCAGTTGTGAGAGGGGCTGTACAAGGGCATTCAAATTTGATTAACAAAACAAAATATAAAATAGTGGCAAATCATTCTTTCCTTTGCTAATGTTGCCCCCGCCCCTTTCACTGTAGAGCAGGTGAAGATCACCCAACGAGCAATGAGTAAGAAAAGATAGGTAACAAGTGAAAATCTGGGATTTGCCAGTTAATATGGAATAGACCAGATTAAGTGTTAACTTCTGCTCCCACTTTCTTGGCATACAAATATTCACATTTTGAACCTCCTCCAAAGATAAATATTTAAAAGTGAATTGTAATAAAAGGCAAACAGTCCTCCTTAGAGAGTTCATTTCCATCCCAGATGGAAACCCCAGCTCGTCTGTGCTACCAAAACATGGCAGATTTTAAAATTTCAAGGCTCTCCCAGTAGCTTCTTGCTAGAGTAAGGACTTCCATAGACAGCAGTGCAGGGAAAGAGGGCTATAATTATTACTGTTATTACTATTATTATTATTAATAATAATAATAGTTGGAAGGGACCTTGGAGGTTATCTAATCCAACCCCCTGCTCAGGCAGGAAATCCTATACCATTTCAGACAAATGGCTGTCCAGTCTCTTCTTAAAAACGTCCAGTGTTGGAGCATTCCCAACTTCTGGAGGCAGGTTGTTCCACTGGTTAATTGTTCTCACTGTCAGGAAGTTTCTCCTTAGTTCTAGGTTGCTTCTCTCCTTGATTAGTTCCCATCTGTTGCTCCTTGTCCTGCCTTCAGGTGCTTTGGAGAACAGCTTGACTCCCTCTTCTTTGTAGCAGCCCCTGAGATATTGGAACACTGCTATCATGTCCCCCCTCGTCCTTCTTCATTAAACTAGACACACCCAATTCCAGCAACCGTTCCTTATATGCTTTAGCCTCCAGTCCTGTGTTTGCTCTACAAACCCATCCCTCGGCGTCATTTAAGGCAGCGGCCCCCAACCTTTGGAGTGCCAGGGACTAGTTCTATGGAGAGAGGGTTTTTTTTCCCCACGTGTTCGCAGGTGGGGCTTCGCTCGCTTGCGCAGCCCAGTTTCTGGTGTGCACGGTCACTAAACAAATGGCTGTTATGTTGAAGTCCTTACTGCCCCCTCCCCCACAGCAAGAGAACATTCCCTGTTGTCTCCAACCTTGTACTCACCAGATGACCAAAGGTACGTAGAGCCATCTCTGCTCCGATCTCCTCGCCCATAGCAATGAGTGCAATCCCCAGCACTGCCACACCCTGCAGCGGGAGAGACCTCATTTGAAACCACAGGACGCCTCATAACGTCGCTAAATAGGATATATATTTTTTTATTATGGGAGAATAAGTGTGCTGGCCAAAGCTATGCTCAGGTTTTGTTGTAGAACAGGGGTCTTCAAACTTGGCCCTTTTAGGACTTGTGGACTTCAACTCCTAGAATTCCTCAGCCAGCCTCCATTTTGTTTGTTAGATTTAAGACAGGGATCTTCAAACTTGGCCCTTTTATGACTTGTGGACTTCAACTCCTAGAATTCCTCAGTCAGCCTCCATTTTGTTTGTTAGATTTAAGACAGGGGTCTTCCAACGTGGCCCTTTTATGACTTGTGGACTTCAACTCCCAGAATTCCTCAGCCAGGCACGCGTGCCTGGCTGAGGAATTCTGGGAGTTGAAGTCCACAAGTCATAAAAGGGCCACGTTGGAAGACCCCTGCTGTAGGAGGATCCATTTCAGCATTGCAGCTAATCCCACTGTAAGGTCCTTCCGGTTGTAGGTTCACATGTCACCTTCCAAGTTTATTGATTTTTTTAATCATCAAATTTATGTGGTTGCCCATCTCATGGCAAAGTTACTCTGATTCCCCCCCCCTCCCTAATGACTTATTAGTGAGGACATTTACCCCAACCTGCTTTAATTGTGTGGACTTATTCGTGCTGGCCTCAATTCCTTTGGAACTTTATAAGTTGTGGCTTTTTGACAAAAGGCCGGATCAAGCAGGGAACCCATCAGGTTGTGTTAAGAGGAGCAAACGAAAAGAACATTTTTAAGAAGGACGAGAACTTCCTTAGAAGGTGTCGAGCACCTTCTGTGCCACCAGGAATTAGTCAAAAACAGCGGTCCAAGGACATGTCTACTACTGGAAGGCCATTAGTTCAGCTGGTTGAGGAATTCTGGGAGTTGAAGTCCACAAGTCAGAAAAGGGCCAAGTTTGAAGACCCCTGCTGTAGAAGGTGAGCAGAGAGAAAAGCAGGTTGACTAAACTGAACGTAAGCAAATGCTCAGCTTGCTGACAAGCCATGACACCACCCCAGTTTTAACCAGGGTTCTATTTATTATATAATTCCAATGTGCAAGTGTCGAATTTGGAACAGGGCACAATTTCCACTTCTCGTAGTTGGATGGATAAAGCCAAATGAATTTTAGCGGCTTACGGCAGGGGTAGTCAACCTTGGCTCTTTTATGACTCGTGGACTTCAACTCCCAGAATTCCTGAGCCAGCCATGCTGAGGGGACAAGGAGAGGTTTCCAAGTTGAGCCATGCTGGCTCAGGAATTCTGGGAGTTGAAGTCCACCAGTCATGAAGGGGCCATAGTTCCCCCATGCTGGCTCAGGAATTCTGGGAGTTGAAGTCCACGAGTCATCAAAGAGCCAAGGTTGCCTACCCTTGGCTTAAGGCAAGGTGGTTGCAAAATGTTTTTACCGACACCTGGATGAGTGTTCAGTGCCTCATTTGTCTCTCTGCTATCCTCATCGCTAGCAGAAAAAGGAACTTTGAATGCAAGACAAGACAAAAAAGAGAAACTGAACAGCACCACTCCATTGTTCCTATTATTTTGGAACACCTCTGCACATTTGGGCTTACGGATTAAAATCACCAGACAACAATTAAGTTTTTGTGATGCTAGCTGAATACCACACCTTTTAAGTGTCTATTCGACTGTCTACCGATCTCAAGAGGCAAGTTACAAAATGAAAAACTGACTTCAACCGTTACCTGGTGAGCGCCCATGTCAGCCGAACTCTCTTTCTTCTCTTTGTCCTTCTTGTCCTTCTTCTCCTTCTCCTCCTCCTTCTCTTTGGAATCAAAATGTTCACTACAGATATGAAGAAGCTGCTGAACCTTCAACACGTTCCCAGATCCTGGGGGGGGGAACACCACAAACTCGTGACCAAATTCACATTGCGAGCATCACAGCGCTGTGTTTTCTGGGTTTACACGTTGCACGCTCTGCTAGGAAAAAACCCTACCAAGATGAAGCTGCTGTGCAAATTCAGGCGCTAGGCCAGGGGTGGGCAACCTCGGCTCTTTTACGACTCGTGGACTTCAACTCCCAGAATTCCTGAGCCAGCATGGCTTAGATTGAAAACCTCTCCCTTTCCCCTCAGCATGGCTGGCTCAGGAATTCTGGGAGTTGAAGTCCACGAGTCACAAAAGAGCCAAGGTTGCCTACCCCTGCGCTAAGTCTTCACCTGAGTTCACTGTACTGTGTGAATGCAGACCGGGAATTAAAAAGGACAGGAATCTCCCCAGGTCCCATTCCCACACCCGACTCACCTGCGTAGGCACAGATGTCCACCAGGGTGTTGGCGAAGCTACGGAAAGGTTCAGACACAACCTGCAGGGCAGCCAGGATCGCTTCAATGGCCTCACCCTTTCCTGTAAAAAAAGTGGGTACAAAAACACTTCAGCATCCACTCAAGTGACCGATGTTCTATCGAGGCCGTCTGAACAGGAAAGAACGTCTACATCCATTGCCCAGTCCAGGCCTAGCTGCCTAACATGCCAGCTGCCCAGGTTCGAATCTCAGATGGGTATGACTAGCTGGGGAGAGCTAAAGAGCTCGAAATAGCTATACTAGTCTCCCTTTAACTCTTTGTCAGCTACAAAAATGTTGAATTTACAGTTATCACAGTAGCGACGTCTACCTGCAAAAATGCTCCTAGACTGGAGCAAAACGCAGAAGCAGATTGCTTTTTATATACATATATATAAATATTTTATTAGATTTTATAAGAATGAAGGGGAAGTGGGGTCAATAAGGGTATAACAAGGGGTGACAAACAAAAAAGGCTAGACCAAGGGAAGGGATAGATACAATAGTGGGGATGTCCCCCACAATAAGTCAACGCTTCAGCAAGTAAACCCGTCCGGGTATACATATTCAATCATAATAATTAATATAAAATAGCAATACTTAATATTACTAATATATTACAAATTAATTATAATAACTTTAACATTAATATATTACTTATTAATTATAATTACTTATTGTTAAAATCACAAATTTAAAAAAAGAAGAAAAATTCATAGGAATAAACAAGAAATTTAAATACAAAATATCAATTATCCCATTAAGTTTCATAACCTTTTCTCATTCTATCATGTTGCTAACCATTGGTAAAAATTTATCCCACGTTTTAAAATAGATTGAGTCTTCTTTCTCTGTCATTTCTAAAGTTAATCTGTCCATTTCTGCACATTCAAGTATTTTTCTTATTATAATCTGGTCAGAAGGTAGATTTTCATTTTTCCAAAATTGGGCAAATGCTATTCTCGCAGCTGTTAATACATGTAATATTAAGTACTCATTCTCTTTTTCCATAATTAGATCCTAATATTCCTAGCAAACACAATTCCGGTTTAAATTCTATCTTAATTTAGATTGGTTCGTCCTATACTTGGTAGACCGGGTGCTTCACCCAACATATAGATATATCCTCCCTGATTTCTGCTGACAGGAGGGGAACCTGTGGCCTAGAGGTTAATACAGCCCAGGCCAGGCCAATACAGGTAAGTCCTCTGACGTAAGACCACAACTGAGCTCCAAATTTTCACTGCTAAGCAAGGCAGTTGTTTATAGTGAGTCTTACACCATTTTGGGATCTCTTTTTTTTGCCATGGTGATTAAGCAAGACACTACAGTTGTTAAGTGAATTATGCAGTTCGTTAAGCAACTCTGGTTCCCCCCACTGACTCTGCTTGTCAGAAGCTCCCTAAGAAAGTGCCAAATGATAATAAACCCAGGACCCCAGGACAGAAATTTTGGACTCAATTGTGACTGTAGGGTGTGGACTACCTGTACACCGTTCTTTTCCATTTCCTTCCAACTTAAAATTCAGAAATGATGCTCTTGTTTCAAGAGGGGATGGGGAGAAGGGGCAGCCCGTTCACGGGCAATTATGATGCACCTATAATTAGCATTCAAGGGCAATTCTGTCACCTCCCTCTTATGCAGAATCTTTTCTGACATCCATGGACCGTCCGAGAGAATTCCCTTACCCAGATGGTTCAGGCCCAGGCCAAGAGGCAGCCATCTGGCGTAGGTGTCCTTCAGCTCCGTCTCGGACTTCTCCATGATGGTTTGGAGGATGGTAGAGGTGACGTCTCCGTTGCAGGAGCCCACTGCAATAATTCCACAGGCCAGGGCTGTCACGCCAGCCACCTGGAGAGAAAGAGAGAGCCCAGTTCATCACCTTCATAAGCTCTTCAAAAAAAACACACAAAACCACATAGATGGGGGGAAAAGTTATCCGACAGAGTCTTGCAAGAAAAGGCTATTTCTTGCAAGCTAGAGCAGGGCTCTCCAAATTTTAAGACTTGTGGATTTGAACTCCCAGAATTTCTCAGACAGGGAATTCTGGGAGTTGAAGTCCATAGGTTTTGCAATCAATTGTCGTCAGAACATTTTGTGAGCAAGCCCCACTTAGACAGATGTCAAGGATCTCCAATTCCATATCCTCACTCCCTTCCCACAACAGAGTTCTCAGCCAATTTTTAAAGTTTCTGCTCTCTCACCTCCATGCTGGATTTGGAATCACCCATCACAGGAAGCAGCAAGGTCAGGACATCTTCTCGGTTGGATCCCGCGTAGGCCAACCCCAGCCTGCCAGAGAGAGCACAAAGTGGTTTGAAGTGTGTGTGTGTGTGTGTGTGGTTGCCACAGAATTGGGAGGGGGAAGGTGTATTCTTCAGCTAAGACAGGGGTAGGCAACCTTGACTCTTTTATGACTCGTGGACTTCAACTCCCAGAATTCCTGAGCCAGCATGGCTCAGCTTGGAAACCTCTCCCTTTCCCCTCAGCGTGGCTGGCTCAGGAATTCTGGGAGTTGAAGTCCATGAGTCATAAAAGAGCCAAGGTTGCCTACCCCTGGGCTAGACAGTCACTTGTCTGAGATGGTATAGGTCAAGGGTAGGCAACCTTGGCTCTTTTATGATTCATGGACTAACTCCCAGAATTCCTGAGCCAGCCACGCTGAGAGGAAAGGGAGAGGTTTCCAAGCTGAGCCATGCTGGCTCAGGAATTCTGGGAGTTGAAGTCCACGAGTCATAAAAGAGCCAAGGTTGCCCACCCCTGAGCTAAGACAAAACAATAAATATTCCTGTGGGAACCAAGGTCACTGCTGCCTGGGTTTTGGCACGGGCTGTAGCTTCCCTTAGAAAGCCCACCAAAGTAGATTATTGGGGAATATGATTTATGACATATTGCTGGGGTGGGAAGTTCAACTTTGTAACACTGTAACTTTTGGGAGGGAGCTTCAGTCTTGGTTTCGCTTTTGATCGTGCCGATACCATGTAGCCAAATAAATATGTTCTTTAAGGAAAACTTTTGCCTAGAAGTTCTTTTTTATTCTGTGGCCTCGTGTATCGGAATCACGACATGTTTCCTGTGCTGCGTGAGGAAAAAAACGGAAGACCAGGCAGATCCTCACCCAAAGATGGCACCGATGCGCATGGTGTTGCTGTTGTGAAGGATGTAGTCGGAGAGCAGCGCAAGGGCTGGGTCGCACTCGTTCCTCACCCCAGAGTTCACAATGCCACAAGCCAGCAGAGCCCCTGACTGGAGGAAAGACAAGGAAGGAAAACACAGTCCAGAATACAGGATACCACAAGAGATATATCTAATGTTGAACGAGCCCCTTCCCCCCCCCCACAAAAAGTGCTCAGGCCTGAGTGGAAGAGGATTGATAGCACAAAAATGGAGTTGTAGTACTTTTTACATCCACATGAAGCATTAGGAAAAAAGGGATTTCAGTGCAAAGGACCTGAGGGCAACTGAGGCATCTTCAATGCCTGCATCCCACTGATGTCACCAACGAGGCAACAGGCGTGGCAGAGAGGGAAAACTGCTCAGGGTTCAAGCACCTACACTTGGCCAAATGTTTTAGATTAGTCCCTGCATCTCCGCGAAGAGTGAGGAAAGGTGGATATGGCTTCTCTAGAATGTTCCAGAAGGTGATCAAGACAAAGTTTTCTGACAGAGCTTTTAATTTAGGATGCACGATGGGTGAAGTTGGGTGTTTGGAAATTTGGCTATGGAATTAGGTTAGAGTCCTGGGTTTGGATATTTTCTTTTCTTGTAAATTGACAGGATGACTTGAGGAAGATGTACAGGTAGTCCTCAGCTTACGACCACAATTAAGTTCCAAATTTCTACGGTTGAGCAAGGCGGCTAAGTGAGTTTGACGCCATTTTAAGACTTTACTTGCCACAGTTGTTAAGTGAATTTGTTAAGTTGGTAACAGGGTTGTCAAATAAATCTGGTTTCTCCACTGTATTTGTTTGTCAGGAGGCCTCAAAAGGTAAACCAGATGACCCCAGGACATTGCAACCGTCATAAATACACGCCAGTTGCCAAGCATCCAAAGTTTGTGTGACCATGAAGATGCTGCTATGGTCCTAAGTATGAAAAATGGTCACGCCACACTTTTTTCAATGCTGTTGTGATTTCAAAAGGTCACTAAACAAATGGTTGTTAAGTCAATATAAGTATATAAGCACTGCTAATAAACAGGTACATGAACTCCTGAAACTCTGGAAACCTAACTGTGCGGGTCATAATGTGATATAAACTGACAGGTGGAGAAGTAGTTTATATTAGTATAAAACAAAGTTCTAGTGCAGGGGTGGGCAACCTTGGCTCTTTTATGACTCGTGGACTTCAACTCCCAGAATTCCTGAGCCAGCCTGGCTCAGCTTGGAAACCTCTCCCTTTCCCCTCAGCATGGCTGGCTCAGGAATTCTGGGAGTTGAAGTCCACGAGTCATAAAAGAGCCAAGGTTGTCTACCCCTGGTCTAGTTATTATTCAACTGTGGGAAAACTGCCTCAACAGGTGGTAGTAGATGGCTAACTCTGGAAGGTAAAACAGGATTTAGAATCACTTTTCTGTGAGAAAAGTTGTGATTAGAATGCAGTATTGCAGGTTAATTCTGCTGACTGCCGGCTGCCAGCAGTTTGGCAGTTCGATCCTCACCGGCTCAAGGTGGACTCAACCTTCCATCCTTCTGAGGTCGGTAAAAGGAGGACCCAGATTGTTGGGGGGAGGGGGGCAACTGGGAATTCAGAGCTGTAGACCAGATTGGGAACTTGGAAAAACACTGTGGAACAAAGTGATGTGGACCGTCTTTGCATCCATGCCGTTTTCTTGGCTGTTATGGAGACAGTTTCTCATCAACCTTGTTCTACAATGTTTTTTTTCCAAGTTTGTAATCTAGTCCACAGCCCTGAAACACCTAGGTCAGGGGTAGGCCACCTTGGCTCTTTTATGACTCGTGGACTTCAACTCCCAGAATTCCTGAGCCAGCCACGCTGAGAGGAAAGGGAGAGGTTTCCAAGCTGAGCCATGCTGGCTCAGGAATTCTGGGAGTTGAAGTCCACGAGTCATAAAGTGGCCTAGGCCTAGGCCAGAGTAGGCCACCTTGGCTCTATGACTGGTGGACTTCAACTCCCAGAATTCCTGAGCCAGCCACGCTGAGGGGGAAAGGGAGAGGTTTCCAAGCTGAGCCATGCTGGCTCAGGAATTCTGGGAGTTGAAGTCCACGAGTCATAAAAGAGCCAAGGTTGCCTACCCCTGACCTAAATCTGGGTTAGGCTCTGTGGGAGTTGAGCCTAACCCAAGGTATTTTTTTATCCCTTTGTGATTAGACTGCTCCCCACGGAAGCATTTAGGCTAGGAATGTGGTTGCTCACCTTGATGTAGTCTTCTGACGAATACAGGTACTTGTCAATCTGGGTAAGGCCCCCATCCACATCCCACAAGAGGATCATCCCCAGCGAGGCTGCAGCACTCAGCATCCCTGCAGAATAAATGGGAGTCAAAGCCTGCATCGTGGGAACACCAGCACATTCACAAAGTATGGCTATTTTTTATTCATTTCTGTTTTACTCACTGCCAGCACGAATCAATTCTGGGCAATGGACAACTTGAGAAATCTTCCCTCCATCCATCCCCAGCTATTCACCATATGTTGCAATTCCTGGGGCTGTCCTAGAGAAGGCAAAATGCCTGGAACAATGGAGGAGCGGGAAGGGAAGTCTGCAGCTCCTCCCTTCATAAAAGTGCATCGGCCACGGTAAATATTAGAAGACCAGAGGATCAGGGCTGCAAAAATCCAGACAGCCACTAGAGGCAGCAAAGAGATACAAGTACCTCTTTGTGGTCATTTACGGCAGGGGTAGGCAACCTTGGCTCTTTTATGACTCGTGGACTTCAACTCCCAGAATTCCTGAGCCAGCCACGCTGAGGGGAAAGGGAGAAGTTTCCAAGCTGAGCCATGCTGGCTCAGGAATTCTGGGAGTTGAAGTCCAGGATTAGCATTCTCATTGCCAATAAAATAAAAAGCAATTTGAATCCAACTTCCAGTCCAGCTGGACTCATGTTAGCTTTAAGGACCCCTCCAGGCCATTTTCTTGGCAGCCCTACACAAATGGCCGTCAATTCCTTCTGCCAGAATCCTGCCATCCCAGTTCTGGGGTTTCCTGGTGATTTACCATTAGACCTGACCCTCTTAATTTCTGAGTTCAGGCAAAATCAACCCGATTCTGCCACTTGCCGAGTCACTCCGGTGAGTTTCTGATGTCAACGCTGCTAACATTGGATGTTTTTGCATTGACAACAGATGGAAATGTAGCCATCTTTTTCCCTTTCACTTTTAGAGTTAGATGATGCTGGGGGGGGATGTGAATGAGAGTCCAGCTAGACATAACAACACTAACCCTAGCATGAGAATCAAGGTTATTGAGCCCAGAGTGGATAAAAGAATTGGCGGGCTGGAGAGGAAGCTAATTGGAGTATGTGATTTATGACTGTCAATTGGAGGAGGGAATTGTGCTTTGATACTATNCTATGTGCCCAGGGGAGGGGAATTCTGTTTTTGGCTTTGATTATGCAGTGCTGATATTATGCTACTTGAATAAAAGATCCTTTAAGGCAGGGGTGTCAAACTCAATTTCATTGAGGGCCGCATCAGCATTGCGGTTGTCCTGGGCGGGGCGGGGGGGCCTACTGGGTAGGCGTGGATGGACTGGGTGTGGCCTACTAGGTGGGCATGGCCATCTCTATATCGTTCGTGTTAAGGGTGCCTGAGGGGGCCTGGGCAGGAGTGGGAGAGATCTGAGGGTCTCTGGCAGAAGGGGGTGGGACTGGGGCAAGCGCCAAGGCATGGTCCATTTCTTCATTCCTCACAAAGGGTGACACCTCCCCAGCATGCACCCACGGGGCAGGGCCGACGCGGCAGGGGCTGGTTCCTCGCTGTTTCCAGACGGCCTTGTGGAGTTAAGACTGAATGCGATTCAGCATAGAGGGCCACCACAAAATTGTACATTGGCTCCCGGCCGGCCAGGGCCAGGACCAAGGCCAAGGCAGCGGGGGCCGTTCCCTCACTGTTTCCAGGATGGCTTCGCGGGCCACATGAAACCACTTCGCGGGCCGCATCCGGCCCCCGGGCCTTGTGTTTGACATGTCTGCTTGAAGGTAAACAATGCCTCCAAGTTCTTTTGAAGAGTTTCATCTGTCGGAACCATGACACCCAGTATCTTAGAAAGTGGACCACAGAAGAAGAATTCTACATTCTACCCAATAATGAATTCACTGCCAAAGAGCATCTCTTGCGAGTGCAAAATTTCCCACCCTGGGGCAAGGTGTCTCCACCTTATCCCGTCTTCCTCCCGACCCCAGATCTTGGGTTTCTTGTCGTCCCTCACCGTGGTCCTTGTTTTTATAGAGCCACTTGTTGCCATCGTCCGTCAGCAGCTTGTCTTGGCCAAAAGCAGCATTCACGAAACCGTTCACAAAGGAGGAAGCCAAATTCATGCGAGCTGAGTCCACTTGCGAACCGCTGCCACCGAACCCTGAGGGAGCGGAGAGCACGAGGGTGAGTGGATTGCTCCTGGCTGAGATCAGAACTGTGAAAACATCGGTGCTCTGCCGCAAACTGTTCGTTTTGAAGAAGCGGCAGCCTAACCAAGACTTCAGCCATCAAAACAACTACCCGGTCACTGCTAAATAGACAAAGTTGCCTGGATTTTGTAATTAGCAAACTGTGAGCAAATGGAAAACTGGGGGGGGGGGGAGAGCGAGGGCTTGGGGTTGATCTAGATCAGGGGTCTTCAAAGTTGGCCCTTTTATGACTTGTGGACTTCAACTCCCAGAATTCCTCAGCCTGGCTGAGGAATTCTGGGAGTTGAAGTCCACAAGTCATAAAAGGGCCAACTTTGAAGACCCCTGATCTAGAGGGAAACAGTATGCCTAGTTTCCAAATTCTTGGGGGCCTCTCAACTCCCCAGATAATGACTCCCGAGACAGAAGAATGTTCTCCAATGGAAAAACAGAATCTTTCACCTCAGGAGTGGCCAGGCTCCCAAATAAAGTTGGCATTATCTAACTTGAAACAGATTCTAACTGTAGAGAATCTTACTTCTGGGCTTGACTCTGTAATGAGTTGTGCTTGGATTCACTTTTAAAACAGTGTGGAATGGGCCATGTAGGCCTTCCTTCCAGAGCACTTGGTGCATTCTTCTCAAAAAGTGGCCCTCCAATTGAGCTTCACTCCCATTGTCCCCTCTCTGTTCAATTTTCTTGGCAGTTTTATGGACTCGGTTTGCTGTTCGTACTGAAAAAATCTATCTGTAGGAGCAAAATCATACGCTCCTTTGGTCTTTTGAAGTCCATCTAAGCCCAGAGCCCGGAATGGCTATGGAAAGGCCTTGGAGAAGACGAGGCAGAGTCTGGGAGGTGGGGGCAGAGTCAAGAGAGGAATCAGCCTGGAGTTGTTACGTTCCCACAAGCGGTCCAAGTCCTCTTGAATTCTGCTAACTCTTACATCGCATCAAGTTAATGCTGTTGGTTGACTAAATTCTTATGAATAAGCATGAGCAATAAATCAGCTTAACTGGAACTTAATGCACGGTCCTGATCTTTCGTGCATGACAGTCTTCTCCTGTTAATAATTGTAATTTGTCAAACTAATTATTCTGAAAACAGAAGTATGCTGTTATGTCACAATGCCTTCTGTGGCCATTCCCTGTTTAAAAAAAACTAAACGTTCAGGTTCAAACTACTATGGATATATTCCACAACAATCGAAATTGCAAATTTATATAGTTTCCCACTCCATGGCAAAAACAGCCTCAGAGTGTGAATCAAGAATTTGGGCAGAGGAACGCACTTAATGAGTGTGACTGGCTAGAGATAAGTTTGTAAAAGAGAATTCAAATAGAATTGGGCGATTATATCTGAAGAAGCATCGTTATATAGTTAGAACTGCCTCTCATTATACTCAAATTAAATCCAAACAGTGTAAATCAGACTGATGACAAGGGTTACAACCAACCAAGATATTCCATCCATTTTCCAGTGAACCCAGAGTCAGCACGGACCCCACTATTTTAAGCCCAGCACTTACGGTTATTTTCTAGATGCGTTTTGTAAATGTCATCTGGCACCTTGGGCTCCATGATGTCCAGCTGGAGGCAAAAGAAAGAGTTATCTCTGATGTCCCATGTATAAAACAAGTCTTCACTTGATTGCTAAATTAAGCCACCATCCATGTTTAAAATATATATGGAATCACAGAATGACCAAAATAGGTGTGGTTCGCAACACTTTTGAGTTATAAAAAACAACAACCCTGAAATCAAGGTTAATGCTATTCAAACATAATATATTGAGCACATTCACTTGCAGGAGAAGCAGACAGTGGTAAAGTAATAAATAAGCCATAGCGTCATTTAGATAGGGGGAACTGAAAATTCATCTAATTTATCACCCATGTCCCACTGTCGCCCCAAATCAAAACTTTAATTTGATTTTCCATGATGTAACACCCCACATTCAATCACTTTGTACAACTTTCTTAGCTTGCCTGTATCTTACTACAGGGGTCCCCAACCCCTGGTCCGTGGACCAGCAACGGGCCACGGCACGCCAGCAACCGGGCTGTGCAAATAAGCAAAGTTCCATCCATGGGATGCAGGCAGCACAGAAAACCACACTCCCTCTGGTCCTTGGAAAAAATTTTCTCCACGAAGCCGGTCCCTGGTGCCCCAAAAGTTGGGGGCCTCTGTCTTACTTTGTTGTTGTTGTTAGTTGCAAAGTCGTGTCCGACCCATCGCGACCCTATGGACAACGTTCCTCCAGGCCTTCCTGTCCTCTGCCATCTTCTGAAGTCCATTTAAGCTCACGCCTACTTCTTCAGTGACTCCCTCCAGCCACCTCATTCTCTGTCGTCCCCTTCTTCTCTTGCCCTCCATCTTTCCCAGCATTAGGCTCTTCTCCAGTGAGTCCTTCCTTCTCATTAGGTGGCCAAAGTATTTGAGTTTCAACTTCAGGATCTGGCCTTCTAAAGAACAGTTGAGGTTGATCTCCTCTAGGACTGACCGGATTGATCGCCTTGCAGTCCAGGGGACTCGCAGGAGTCTTCTCAGCACCATAGTTCAAAGGCCTCCATTCTTTGGCGCTCAGCCTTTCTTATGGTCCAACTTTCACAGCCATACATTGCAACTGGGAAAACCATGGCCTTGACTATACGCACTTTTGCTGGCAGGGTGATGTCTCTGCTTTTTAGTATGCTGTCTTACTAGATCACAGCAAATCATTTTAAACCCACAATTTGCAAGAAGGCTTTGGATAGCAATGATGTCGGCTTAACTTTTATCATTTTTCTGCTACTCAGTTCTCCAGTAATCGCCTTCCACTTTTAATCCAATGCAATTAGGGAGAACTTGGGGAAACTGGAAAAGAATGAGTTTTGAGGGGCCACAGGTAGCACAAGTTCCCTGCAGTTTTGGATGAATGCCCAAATCAAAGAGAAGATTTGCTGAAAGCTGAAGAACAGTTTTTCCTTTTTTTAAACTCTCACTGAACACAGATGCCCCGCTGAGCATTTCTGCTCATTAGAAATGCGAAACATGTTGAATTTGAAATGTTTTGATCTAGAAATAACTGTTTCAAGCTACACCGGGTTGTTCTGACCTTGCCAGAAATACGTGGAGCTAACTTCACTGTTTTACATTCTGAATGCTTCTGGTATCTGGGCAATGCTGCCAGAACGTTCCAGGTGAACTCAGAACAGCTCTTCCGAGGACCTGTTTTGAATTCAAAATATTTTGCACCCTGCTGCAAAGAGTGATTCACAAAAGGGTTAGAATCAAGTAACTGAATCACCCCGCACAAATACATGGGGACGAAAAAAAAGACTCCAGGGCTTCAAATCCTGTTTCATTTATAAGTGAAATTTAGAAATGGGGACAGGTATTGGAAATCTCTGGAGATGCCGGGTTTTTTTTACGCTAAATTGTCCAGAGAGCATTTTAGTGTCAAATAAGCAGCCTTTACTGCTAGAAGAAGTGAGAGCAGAGAAATAGTATATAAGTAGATCAGCACTATAATTTCAAATATTTAAACACACGCTCAGCTCTCCTAAGAAAGCAATGCAATACCAGTGTTGATAATAATAATAATAATAATAATAATAATAATAATAATAATAATAATAATAATAATAATAATAGAGTTGGAAGGGACCTTGGAGGTCATCTAGTCCAACCCCCTGCTCAGGCAGGAAACCCTATACCATTTCGGACAAATGGCTGCCCAGTCTCTTCTTAAAAACTTCCAGTGTTGGAGCATTCACCGCTTCTGGAGGCAGGTTGTTCCACTGGTTAATTGTTCTAGCTGTCAGGAAGTTTCTCCTTAGTTCTAGGTTGCTTCTCTCTTTGATTAGTTTCCCTCCGTTGCTTCTCATCCTGCCTTCAGGCACTTTGGAAAACAGCTTGACTCCCTCTTCTTTGGGGCAGCCCCTGAGATATTGGAATATTGCTATCATGTTCCCCCTCGTCCCAATTCCCAATTCCAGCAACCATTCCTTATCTGTCTTAGCCTCCAGTCCCCTAATCATCTTTGTTGATCTTCTCTGTACTCTTTCTAGAATCTCAACATCTTTGGCCATTATGTTTTTGAAAAGGAGGTCAAATGTTAAGAAACAATACAGGCAGGCCTTGTTTAGTGACTGCTTCGTTTAGCCAACTGTTCACTGTTAAAACGGTGATTAAAAAGTAACTTTATGACCCAGTCTTATTTATGATCTTTGCCGGTCTGCAATGCAATGGAAAAAGCTGAAATAAGATCACAAGCACAGTTGCTCTTTCACTTTGCTTTAACAACCAAGTGTGTTCTAAATGGACCGTCTGCAAGTCACTACAGGCTGCTCCTTTTTTCAAGATTCAAAATCCTCTTAGGAAAAAAACAAAACCTTGTGATAGAACAAGAGAACTTACTTCCCTGGCCAACGCCAGAAAGTTACTGTTGAGCTGGACGTTAGACATGATCTCTGTAAGATCCTCATACTCTTCGACATCCTCACTCAGCTCCAGAAAGACCCCGTGGCGGCCCAGCATGAAGGCCATTTGTTTCTGAACAACTCTGCAAAAAACAAAAACAAAAAAAAAACCTAATCAGCAAGCCAAAAACATTTAGCTAGAGTGGATAAATGAACGGTCATTTATTAAATCTCAGCGATATCCTGTTGGTGGCTGTGACACATGCAAAGCCAGTGCTTTGCATGTGTCACAGCATCCCGCAGACATGGATCGGGGTCATCCTTCCGGGCTTCCCAAAAGCTCTTAAAACCTAGTTTTTGCTCATAGCGGAGGGCTGTGTTTTAATGCAGGGCTTTTCAACCAGTGGTAGGGGTACCACCTGTGGTACATTGGCACCTGGCAAATGGTACGCGACCATCCTAGAAAAGTGGTAGCAGGGGAGGGGAATGAGCTGAACCGGTGGCAGCACCGCACAAGCCTGAGAGACGGCTGGAGCTGCAGGGCTGTCAGGGCTCAGCGGAAGCCCCAGGATCAGCGCCAGGCTCCAGCTGGAGCTCGGTGCTGATTATGGTGCTTCTGCTGAGCCCTAAAGAAGCACCAATCAGCTGGAAAGCAGCACTGATCCTGGCGCTTCTGCTGAGCCCAGAAGAAGCGCCAGAATCAGCTGGAATGTTGCAGCCTCTCCAAGGTCTTGTGATTTACATGCAGATGCTTGGCAACTGATTCATATTTATGACGGTCATAGTGTCCCAGAGTCATGTGAAGTGACCAAAACCTGCTGCAAACACCCAGCAGATGGGGGGGAATAAAAACCAAACACCCCCCACCCCACCCCCGCTGCCAATCCTCAACAGAAATGCTCACAACAATGAAAACCTCAGACAGGAGGAAGAGCGCCGCTGGGCGGGCAGGCAGGTGTCTTGCTCGGCTGTGGCTTAGGGGGCACTTTTTTCAGTGCCATTGTAACTTCAAACAGTCACTAAGCGAACTGTTGTAAGTCGAGGACTACCCGTACTTCATCATTTTTTTCCTTTTTTTTTTTTTTTTTTTTGGTCATCAAGTTTTTGACACCTTGCTAGGCGACTGGTGGTACTCGGATATTGCCCTATCCTAAAAATGGTACAATGGGTGAAAAGGTTGAAAAGCCCTGTTTTAATGGGTATTGTAACTCCAGACTCGTCTTTTGTCTATGTTTTTAATTAGCTTGCCGATGGATTTTGTAAGCAGCCCAGACCCTGCTGGAGTGGTCAGCCACAATAAATATAAGTAATGAAATAAATAAGATATCCCGTTATCAGGAAGATAATCACGATCACTGATAACATTGGCGAGTTTCACTGAAAGTCACTGTTCCTTCCCCTAGTTTCCAAACATTTTATCCATTTCAATTAAGCAACATTTTACTTTCCCCTAGAGGTTTATGATATCAGAGGATAAATTTTGGGCTATTATTTACTATTCATTGTTTTATTTTTCATTGTTTTATTTTGTACATCTATCGCTTCTATTCTGGGATGAAAGCCTGGTACTTAATAAGAGTTCTTAACATTCTTTCTGACTGGGCATTGTAGATGGAGCCAAAAGGAGTTGAAATCCTATACAGAGGGGAAGCTGGATACCGACACCTAACTTGAACTATTAAAAAGATAACTGGAAATAGGCGAAGCTTTGACATCATCGAGTTCAGATTCCATCATCATCATCCTAATCTATATAAATAAAAATGTAAATGTTCGTTTGTTCAAAATCTTAAATCTCTGAAAGTGCTTCACCGATTGCTTTGAAATTTTGACACAACGTTGCATTCGAATACACGTGTTTTTATATACCTATATTATATAGATGCCACACCTGTGACAGGTAAAAACATGTTTTTTTAAAAAAACAGCGCCATCTGTTGGACGTAAAAGCAACACACGCTTTTACCAGACTGAACCACAGCAACGCGTGGCCGGGTACAGCTAGCAATAATAATAATAATAATAATAAAGTTGGAAGGGACCCTGGAGGTCATCTAGTCCAACCCCCTGCTCAGGCAGGAAATCCTATACCATTTTGGACAAATGGCTGTCCAGTCTCTTCTTAAAAACTTCCAGGGTTGGAGCATTCACCACTTCTGGAGGCAGGTTGTTCCACTGGTTAATTGTTCTAACTGTCAGGAAGTTTCTCCTTAGTTCCAGGTTGCTTCTCTCCTTGATTAGTTTCCATCCGTTGCTTCTTGTCCTGCCTTCAGGCGCTTTGGAGAATAGCTTGACTCCCTCTTCTTTGGGGCAGCCCCTGAGATACTGGAAGACTGCTATCATGTCCCCCCTCGTCCTTCTCTTCATTAAACTAGACATACCCAATTCCAGCAACCGTTGCTTATATGTCTTAGCCTCCACTCCCCTAATCATCTTTGTTGCTCTTTTCTGCACTCTTTCTAGAGTCTCAACATCTTTCTTATACCTATGAATCAAAGGGACTTTGGATAAGGCTCTAGACGTAACGATTCTCCTAACCCTGAATCCTGTGGATCTGCCAACAGCACCCCAATTCTAGGGAGCGCTACTTACACATCTTTGCAGGAAATGAAGATGTTTTCTGCCAGTTCCATGTCATTCAGCATGAGGGCCAAACGCAGGGCTTCAGGGTAGCGATTGAACTTGCGAAAGATGCTAAGGGCACAACGAAGGAGGGCAGAATTCTCTGGCTCGGGGACATAGCTCACACAGCTTGAAAAATAAGGAAGAGAGGGGCAGAAAATGAAGTTTGGTTAGCACTACGTCTGTTAGCCAACTGGTCCTTTTTTTCACAACAACAGTGTTACACAGTGCCTCAAGGAAGTTCCCCAAACCTTGGTTGGCCCTCAGCCCCTCCTGCCAAATTAAAGTTTTCGATATGCGATGAAGAGAATTATTAAACTCGTGAAAAATATTCTGTAGGTGGGCTGGAAGAGGAGAAAAACACCATGTGCATATTGAGGCATATGTGAGCCACAATTTGTCATGGTATCACCATGGAAGAGTGATCTGTCTGCTGTATTGTACAGAAAAATCCAAGCAGACAGAAATCCTACCAAACAGCAAATATAGAAGTTATCTAAATTGGGAATCGGTTCCTTTAAGGGAGCGGGGGGGGGGGGGGGGGGGGNGTGGTGGGGGGGGGGGGGGGGGGGGGGGGGGGGGGAGAGGAACCTTTTGGAAAATGATGAGCTGATTGATAAGCTTTAGAATTTATGGCTAATTATACCTTTCTTATCAGGTTAATTTCAGCACAAAGCACACTTTTTGTTGCATTATAAATGAATGCAAGCCTATCACAATCAATCAGGACTTGGGCTCTGAATATCCTAGACCAGGGATTTCCAAGCGTGGCAACTTTAAGACACGTGGACTTCAACTCCCAGAATTCCCCAGTCAGCACATTCACTATAAACGTGAAGTCCACACGTCTTAAAAGTTGCCAAGATTGGCAAACACTGCCCTACACTTAAGCGCCTGCATTTCTTTGCAACAATTCTTTGTCATACTGGACTGCCTCAGCAGAATGAGTTTCTAATTCTATTATGTCTAAAACAGGGGTGTCAAACTGCCAGCCCACGGGCCGGTTTCATCATACCGGAGCCGCGCCAACCCCATTGCCGGCAATGGCGAAAAAGCTCCGATACGTTGCGCGACATCACGTGACGTCACGAGTTTGACATGTCTGGTCTAAAAGAAATAATAATTCCACTTTGAGTACTATTCTGAACTCCACACACAAAGGAGTTAGGTTCAAAGGCTAAGAGAGAAAAAGGTTCACTGGGATTTTAGAAGAATAAGATAGGAAGGAACTGGAAACATATAGTTTTGAGAAGGTAGAGAGGTGAATAGCATTCTTCATGAATCTGAAAAGAAAAGAATAAAGCAGTGTTTCTCAACCTTGACAATTTTAAGGCATGTGGACTTCAACTCCCAGAATTCCACAGCCAGCAATGCTGGCTGTGGAATTCTGGGAGTTGAAGTCCACATGCCTTAAAATTGTCAAGGCTGAGAAACACTGGAATAAAGGATCTGAGTGTCAGGAAAAAAAACCTTTTGTAATTGAACCGTAGAACCGATTATGCAGAGAAATTTGGTTTGGATAGCCACCGACCATGAATGTCTGAATCTGGATCTCTGCATTCATCAGAAGAGTTGGTCTCAGTGACCTCATTCAGCCTTGCCAACTCTTATGAGCTGAACTCCACAAAACTCAGAAAGCACAGCTCCCTCACCTGGTCAAATAGAGACAAACTTTGGCATAGGCATTGTCATCGATATATTCCTCCAGCATGTCCATCTGCTCAATTTCCATGAGCAAATCACAGGCCTCGTGCTCAGCATTGTGGGCCATGTTGTAGGGCACAATCTCCTTCACGAGAGTTAAAAGGGTGTCCTTCTGAGTCTTGTCTGCCTCGTCAATCTCCTGCCACTCCTTGGCGACTTCACCTGCCAGGTGTCTGCGGGGGCAATGGAATAAAATGGCATGAGTTCAAAACCAAACCAAACAAACTCCCTACGGTAGGTCACCTTTTTGGGGGGTCTGGCAAGTTTATATTTTGTTTTTCCAGCCCGTGAAATTCCGGAGCTACCTTTACTGAACTTGGGAATTAAATCTTTCTATCTGCTTTATTGTAAGGAAGACTCCAAATAACAGAGTATATGTCAAAAGAGACATCAGCAGCCTTGGTTAAGAAAACACCTGCTGCCAGAGACTGTACTGAAGAAACAGTGTTAACTGGGACATCGCTTGAAAGTCTTCTGTGCTCTGCAGATGAAAGGTGATGTTTAATAATAAAAAAGAACTACATAGTTCAAAAGAACTGTATTATTGATGTTTAGATCAGAGGTCCCCAATAACCAGTCTGTGGACCTGGACCGGCATGCCAGAAACCGGGCTGCGCAAACAAGTGAAGCCCCATCCAGGGGATGCAGGCAGCACCCAAAACCACGCCCCCTCCGGTCCCCGGAAATTTTCCTCCATGGAGCCACACCCTGATGCCCAAAAGGTTGGGGGCTGCTGTTCTAGATCGGGGTTCTCAACCTTGGCAACTCCCAGAATTCTGGGAGTCGAAGTCCACAAGTCTTAAAGTTGCCAAGGTTGAGGGCCCCTGTTCTAGATCGTCAAACATCTTAGCTTGCTCCTTACCTGACATATTCATGTCCCCATGAAGCTAAGGGTTCTTGGGACCCCACCAACCGATATTTCAGACACTCTCGCTCTCCGCTCATCGTCATGGCCAAAACAGATATAATGTCAGCAGCAAAACGCTACAAGGAGAAAGAGATGTCAAGACTGTATCAAACGACACCTCTGGCTAACACGTCCTAAAACTGAAAGGTGGCACAACACCACTCTGGGTTATGCTTCACAGCCTGCCTGAATAAAGAACAATATTCAATTCAGAGTCTCCAGGGATGGTTACAGGCAGTCCTAGATTTACAAACATCTGTTTAGTGACCGTTTGAAGTTACAACGGCACTGCAAAAGTGACTTATGACCGCTTTTCACACCGACGACTGTTGCAGCCTCTCCATGGTCACACGATCAAAATTCAGGTGTTGGGCAACTAGCATGTATTTATGGCAGCTGCACTGTCCCAGGATCCATGTGGTCACTATTTGGAACCTTCCCAGCTGGCTTCCGACAAGCAGAAGCAACGGTGGAAGCCAGATTTGCTCAACGACGTGATTCACAACTGCAGTGGATTCACTTTACAACGGTGGCACAAGAGGTCGTCAAATGGGACAAACCTCACTTAACGACAGTCTTGCTTAGCAATGGAAATTTTGGGCTCAGTTGTGGGGTCGTAAGTCAAGGACCACCTGTACGCAATATTAAGGACCTTCTCTCCTAATAGAAAGATGCTTTTGGCTTTTTAAAGCTAAAAAAAAACACACTTTCCTTCCTCAAAGGAACGAGCAACACATTTGCTCTCCTTATGAATAAGTCCTCTTATAAGCCAACTGTAAAGGGAGCTTTTAAGTCACATTAGAGGAGCCCTCTTGGGTTCCACCTCAACTGCCACCCATTTTATCTTTTTTCTTAGTAAGTGGCCGGCCTTCTTTTTTCAGCTCAACTGAGTGTTGAAAGGAATGGACCCACCGGCGTTGTCACCCACGCAACGCAGTGGCTTGTTGAGAGAGTTACTGGACTTGTCACCCAACTGGCTTTCATGCCTAAGGCGGGACTAGAACTCACAGTCTCCCAGGTCCCAGACTGCAACCAAACCGGCTCTCACTTGCCACCCATTTTATGTTCTGCTATTTTGGAGATCGTGTGAAGGTACGCAGTGAAGATAGTGATCTTTGAAACGAAGAAAAAGCAGCAAAGAAAATTAAATCAGTGTTTAGATTGGTGACAACCTGGGGCCAATTTGTGAGCTGGCTAGCTATTAGAAAGGACAAAGAGGGAGGGAGGGAGGGAGGGAGGGAGGGAGAGGGAGGGAGAGAGAGAGAGAGAGAGAGAGAGAGAGAGAGAGAGAGAGAGATTGCTCAATCAATCCAGGTTACGCACCTTGTTTTCCCCTGCAGCCATGTTTTCGTAGATCTCTTTCAATTTGCCGTAATGTGGCCGCAGGAACTTCAAGGGCTTGGGCACAGAAGTCATGGAGGTCGTGGAAGAGCGGATCTGCCTGCGCAGCTCTTCCAGGGCAGGACGATAAAGAGCCGTGTCCTGCTCCTGCAATCAGATCGGTGATCGTTAGGAAGGAAACAAAAATTTACAGGCCAAGCTCTCCCTGCAAAATTGCTGCTTCTGTTAAGTATGATAAGATTGCTGCTTCTGTTAAGTATGATAAGATAAGATAACCTTTATTGTCATTTTTTTTTTACTGTGGGCGCAACGGCACACATCAAAAATGAAATTTAGTTGCCCGCTCTCAAAGGGAAACACATACACGACACACACCTAAACATACTATGAACAACATATGTACAGGCCCACATCCCTACATATACGTAGCAAATTAAATACTGTCCATCTTGAATATATAACGGAAGGAGGAAGCTTGAGAGTTCACAAGGTTAATGCTGTACGAATCCGCTCAAACCTTTGCTATGGGACTGGTACTAAGAGCACATTTACTATAAACAAGACATAACTATTTGGTTAAGAGTCCTGAAGGGTCAGGCAACTGCTCCGTTCAGTCCACCATTGGTCACACAATAAAAAAGACCTCCTTTTTATGACCCTGTGGTTCCTATTCCTATTAGTACCACTTTATAAAGCCCTAGTAAGACCACACCTCGAATACTGCAGCCAATTTTGGTCACCATATCACAAAAAAGTTGAGAGTTTAGAAAAAATTCAGAGAAGAGCAACTAAGATGATCAAAGACCCGGAGGCTAAAACATACAAAGAACAGCTGCAGGACTTGGGTTTGGCTAGTCTAAAGAAAAGAAGAAATAGGGGAGACATGATAGCAGTGTCCCAGTATCTGAGGGGCTGCCACATAGAAGAGGGGGTCATTTTATTCACCAGAGCACCAGAGGGAAGGGCGAAAAACAATGGTTGGAAACTAGTCAAAGAGAGAAGCAACCTGGAATTAAGGAGAAACTTCCTGACAGTGAGGACAATCAACCAATGGAACAGCTTACCCCCAGAAATCGTGGGCGCTCCATCATTAGAAGTTTTTAAAAAGAGACTGGACAATTATCTGACTGAGATGGTATAGGACCTCTTGCTTGAGCAGGGGGCTGGACTAGAAGACCTCCAAGGTCCCTTCCAGCTCTATTCTATTCTATTCTACTCAGGTAGAGTCGGGGCAATTGGATGGAGCTGAACATTTACTGACCAGGTGTCCTTCCTGACGCCTATATGGAGTTTGCAGTTTTGTTTTTTTCTGAGCCCTAGGAAAGAAACATCCCCCACTAACTAGGATTGAATTCTCAACCTCCATAGTGGGAAGGAAGGGTCCTTACCACTAGGCCACCATGCTGTTCTTGGTCACACAATAGTCAGGCAAAAATAACCAAGAACCTCACAAACATTAAAACAATGGTGAGAGCTTTCTTCCAGGTTATCCTCTTCACTGTCCAATAGGAAGGTGGTGCCTAAGCGGCTTCGCGGAAGCACTTCCATGGAACTCTCCCTTTTAGGGCATGTGGTAACTGCCCCATTTTATGTTGTGCTATTTTGGAGATCATCTAAGAATGCCGTTAATATAGTAAGATTTGAAACAAAAAAGGATGCAAAGGAAGTTTTAGATTCATGACAGCAATGATGAACCAATCAAAACATCTGTCTTACAAAGTAATACAACTGGGCCCAGTCACATAGGTGCTTCAATTTACAATCTCGTGACTTACAACAAAAATTCTGGGGTCTTTTACAGTCACAAGTCAAGGGCTATCTGTAGCCCGTTGATAGTTTTACTTAAAATATCATTTTTATAAACAGCGTTAGTGTTTTGGATGGATCAACACTGTCAACTAGCGAGAATGAATTTTATTATGAGAATAGGGTAAAAGCCACAACATGCACACTATCCTTGTCAGAAAGAATATACAGGTAGTCCTCAATTTTACAACCGTTTGTTTAGTGACCGTCTGAAGTTACCATGGCACACTTTTGACACTTTCACGCTTATGACCATTGCAGTATCCCCATGATCACCTGATCAAAATTCAGATGCTTGACAACTGATACATAACAGTTGCGGTCTCTTGGGGCCCTGTGTGATCACTTTTTGTAACTTTCTGACAAGCAAAGTTAATGGGGAAGGGAGATTCATTTAACAACCCTGTTACTAATTTTACAAACACAGGGATTCATTTAACAACTGTGGCAAAAAAAAATAATCGTAAAATGGGGCAAAACTCACTTAACAAATGTCTTACTTAGCAACAGAAATGTTGGGCTCAATCGCGGTCGTAACTTGAGGACTACCTGTATCATACATAGGATTGTCACTATAGTATAGCATGTGCTTTATTGCCGTATGACGCTCTATAGTTCCTAGAGTTGGAAAATCAATATATTCTGATATTCTACAAGTTTACAGTCAAGAACAGAACTTACTCCCAGACGCTCCACAAGCATTTCCAGCTCATCTTGTAGTTGTTTGTCTTCCTCAGACTGTAAGGAAGGAAGGAAAAAAATGTGAAAATCCAGGCTTCTGTGAAAACCTACATCTTCAACTATTCTGAACTGTAATTAAACTGATGGATGAAACAGGAATACAAAGCAATGCAACAGCAAGGTGACGATGGCACTGTAACCCACATTTAATCATTAATACATACAAATGAAGATAGAAACATTTGAAATTCAAGCAGTGAGAGAAATCTTCATTAAGCCAATTGAGAAAAATAACAACAAATTATAGGCTTCATGTCATAAACACCAGCATTTGTTTGAATTTCAGGCAGATCTAGCAAGCAAGCCAAGCCAGGAAAGCACACAGGAGCATCCCAACTGCCTTTTACTGTTGTCCTAAGTATTTAATCTCCCACAAGGCACCACCACACTTGGAATACTGCATCCAGTTTTGGTCACCATGATATGAAAAAGATGTTCAGACTCTAGAAAGAGTGCAGAGAAGAGCAACTGGGGGACTGGAGGCTAAAACATATAAAAAGCGGTTGCTGGAATTGGGTATGGACGAGGGGGGTGACATGATAGCAGTGTTCCAATATCTAAGTGACTGTCACAAAGAAGGGGGGGGGAAAATCAACCTATTCTCCAAAGCACCTGGAGGCAGGACAAGAAGCAACAGATGGAAACTAATCAAGCAGAGAAGCAACCTAGAAATAAGGAGGAATTTCCTGACAGTGAGAACAATTAACCAGTGGAACAACCTGCCTCCAGAAGTTGTGGATGCTCCATCACTGGAGACTTTTAAGAAGAGACTGGACAATCATTTATTTGAAATGGTATAGGGTCTCCTGCTTGAGCAGGGGGTTGGACTAGAAGACCTCCAAGGTCCCTTCCGATGCCGTTATTCTGTTAATCTCAGTCACAGGTTTTTAATGACAACGTCTCCCTTTAACTCCCCAGGGTGGCAATTCTGGGAAAACCATTGAAGATTTGGAAATGTGCCAGTGACGAACTAGCCAAAGAGGGCCTCCTATGGCTTTCAAGCTCATTGCCAACACTGGGAGGAGAGTCTCCTTTAAGAGGTAGGGAAGATTTAAGAGGTAGGCTCATTCTGCTGCTCTCCAAGGTTGCTTATTCCACAACTGGCCAGCCACTCACCTGCTTCTCTCAAAAGGAGGAGGAGAGCTTACCGGATCCGCACAGAGGCAGACCAGAGGAGGCATTGGAACTACCCCTTTCCGGGTGAGGAAAACGAGATCATATATTTATTTATACAGTAGTCCTCAACTTAGAACAGTTTGTTTAGCGGCCGTTCAAAATTACATCGCTGGAAAAAAAGCGACTTAGGACCATTTTTCACACTTAGGACCACTGCGGCATCCCCACAGTCACCTGAACAAATTTCAGATCCTTGGCAACCGACTCACATTTATGATGGTTGCTGTCTCGTGAGGGTCACTTAAATCGCCTTTTGCAACCTTCTGAAAAGCCAAAAGGCAGAAGAAGAACATCGTGGCTTCAAAATCTAAGGGACTGGTTTGGCCAAAACTCAGCAGCACTTTTTCGTGCGGCTGCTGGATAAAAACAGGATCGCCAACGTCCGATAACGGATATGGCACAAGAAGAAGAAGAAAAGCCAAGTCAATATCTCCCTTCGACCAGTCCGCTCCCACAGAGAGGGCCTCCTTAGGGTGCCGTCGGCCAGTCAATGCCGGCTGGCGACCCCAAGGGGGAGAGCCTTCTCTGTGGCAGCTCCTGCCCTCTGGAATGACCTACCCCCCGACCTACGTACAGTTGCGGACCTGCGCCTCTTCCGCCGAGCCTTGAAAACCCATCTATTCCATGCGGCCGGCCTGGCGTAGTTTTGATTGGGCTTTGCTAGGGGTTTTATAGGGGGTAATTTAGAGCAGGCTTTTTATTCAATATTGATTGTGATTTTTATTATCGCCTGTTCACCGCCCTGAGTCCCGTAAGGGAGATAGGGCGGTATATAAATTTAAATAATAAATAAAATAAATAATAAAATGGGGGGGGGGGGCAGCCAGATTCACTTAACAACCACGTTACTACCTTAACAACTGCAGCGATCGAAATGGAATTGATGTTGAATTTGATAACTGCTGCAAGATTATTAGTAGCCCAACGTTGGAAAACGGAAGGTTTGCCCACTATAGAAGATTGGGCATTTAAAGTTTCAAACCTAGCAGAAATGGCTAAGATTTCAGCCTATGTGAAAGATTACTCACAAGAAAGATATATTTTGGTTTGGAGAAGATGGATAGATTATATTGAGAATAAATATGGAACTAAAAAGTTTCATTTGGTTTTTGAGTAAATTTTAGATTGTTAATGTAGTTTTTATTTTTTTTTTAATTATTATTAATAATGTTTAACATGTTTGTTTAGAAGAGAGCTAAAGGATGTTATAGAATTGTTAACGTTAAGGGTGATATAATTTAAGACAGAGTATAATTATTGTATGGTTAACCCTGTGTGTGGCTCTGGGAAGTCGGGGGGGGGAGAGGGAGGGTGGATTTTGGGGAGGAGGGGAGTTATATTGTAAAACTTTTAAAAATTTTCAATAAAAAAAAAAAAAAAAACAACCGCAGCGATCCACTTAACCCCTGCGGCAAGGTAGGTTGTAAAAAAAAAAAATGGGGCAAAAACTCAACTTCCCAAAATGTTTCGCTTAGCAACAGGAACGTTGGGCCCCATTGCGGTCGTAAGTCGAGGACTAGCCGCATCCCGCCTGTATTATAACGACTCAAGGGGGGGGGGGGCAGCGTGCCTAACGCTCCTATTTTTCGCCGTCCACAACCACCCTGTGAGGTGGGCCGGGCCGAGTGCGAGCGACTGGCCCCAAGTCACCCAACCGGCTCAGATCGGCGGGCGCCACTCTGCACATGCTCAGATGCACCCGCGTTGCTCTACCAGCCCTGGCCGGGCGGGCGGGAAGGACTCGGCGTAGGGCCTCTCCAGCAGTCCGGGCGGCGGATGGAAGGGCCGGGAAAAGCGCCGGGTTCAGGCGAGCTCCCCGGTTTCCGGGCCTGGCCGTGACTCAGCGCGGCTTTTTTTCGGCTGCCCCGGCCGGGCTCTCACCAGCTCCTGCTCCTTGTCCGCCGCGGGGGCGTTGGGATCCTTCTTGTCTTTGCTCCAGGGCCCCGTCAATTTGTCGTCTCCGGCGCCGGGCGTCGAGCCCCCGGCCTGAGTCCGCCTCTGGCCGCCGCCGCCGCCGCCGTCCTCCATCACAAGCCGCTTCCTCAGGGGGCCGACAGAGACACTGCGCATGCGCCGGTGCGGCAGCGGGGAGGAGCCTCAGCGGGCCAATCCGTGCCTCAGGAAAGGGGAGGGCCGCGAGCTCCGGCGGACGTAGGGCGGGGTTGAGGCACAGGGGCGGGGCGAGGGGGAGTAAGGGGAGGAGCGGGGGAGGAGCCAGGCTAGGAGAGGGGGCGGGGCGAGGCAGAAGGCCACGTGCAGATGGCTGCGTGGCTGCAGGAGGGGAGGCTGCTTTCCTGGCCGCTCTTTATGGTATTGCTTAATATCAGAGGACCTCAACCTGGGCTACTTTAAGACTCGTGGACTTCAAGTCCCAGAATTCCTCAGCCAGCTTTGCTCTGAAGCCAGCTGGGAAAGTGGCGAAAGGGCCCCAATTTTGATCCCATGACTGTGGGGATGCTCTAAGGTAGGGGGGTCTCAACTTTGGCCACTTTTAAGACTTGTGGACTTCAACTCCCAGAATTCCTCAGCCAGGGATGGTTGCAATACAGCAAACTCAGTTCACACAGGATGTAAAGGAAAGGGGGAGTGGCTTTGAGCAGGGGTCTCCGACCTAGGCAACTTTTAAGGCTTGTGGACTTCAACTCCCAGAATTCCTCAGCCAGGGATGGTTGCAATACAGCAAACTCAGTTCACACAGGATGTAAAGGAAAGGGGGAGTGGCTTTGAGCAGGGGTCTCCGACCTAGGCAACTTTTAAGACTTGTGGACTTCAACTCCCAGAATTCCTCAGCCAGGGATGGTTGCAATACAACAAACTCAGTTCACACAGGATGTAAAGAAAGTGGGAGTGGCTTTGAGCAGGGGTCTCCAACCTAGGCCACTTTTAAGACTTGTGGACTTCAACTCCCAGAATTCCTCAGCCAGTCTTGCTGGCTGAGGAATTCTGGGAGTTGAAGTCCACAAATCTTAAAGTGGCCAAGGTTGAGGACCCCCAGCTTATATAATATATTTATATTATTAATATTCAATTAGGTAGCTCCCAGTTTATGGACAAGAGGAAAGAACAAAGTGGACATTCTATCAATAGTAATTATAGTTAAGGGTATTAAGGTTACAAGCATTAGGATTACTATAATTGGCTTGTCATTCAGAATTGACTTCCAGGGAGTCCTCGACCTACGACCATAATTGAGCCCAAAATTTATCTTGCTAAGGGAGACATTTATTAAGTGGGTTTTGACCCCTTTTGCGACCTTTCTGTCACAGTTGTTAAGATAATCACTGCTGTGAATTTAGTAACACGGTTGTTAAGTGAATCTGGCTTCCCCCATTGACTTTGCTTGTCAGAAGGTCGCAAAATGGGATCACATGACCCCGAGACACGGCTACCATCATAAATATGAATCAGTTGTCAAGCATCCGAATTTTGATCACATGATCATGGGGATGCTGCAAAGGTCGTAACTGTGAAACATGGTCATAAGTCAGTTTTTTCAGTGCCGTTGTAACTTTGAACGGTCACTAAATGAATTGTTGTAAGTCGAGGACTACCTGTATAACATTGGGAATGAAGAGCATACATCAAGGATATTTTCTCCTGTACCTAGGTCAGTCTCTTGATGTGCCCATTCAAGAAATCATGTGCATAACATGGCAGGATTTAAAAATTAATAAATTTAAAATTAATGAATAATGGAAATAAACAAAAACAACTTAGGGGGTTGGGAAGGCGTTTTACCTGAGCTGGCCTTGATTGAGCCCAAGGTTTTGCCTCGTATAAGTAAACAGTCAGGGGCAGGAAGCAATCAGAAAATAAAATTCTTCAAATTGATTTAGGTCAAACATTGCTGCCAAATTCTGCTTCTTAATCATTGCTTTTTTCGTTGACGCATAACAAGGTTAGGATGCTCCATGTGGCCCACGGAAGCCCAGCAAATCAAGACATAAACCAATTTGTAAAAGGAAGAGAACCATCTCGCTCTGCAGACGAACAGTTGAGTTTTCAGCTGTCCCTGAGAATTACACAAATTAAAAGGTCAGAACGACCATTTTGCTGATCAAGGTTCTGGAAACGTTTCCTGTAACAAAACCAGTCTAACTGGAGTCTTCTTTCCTTTCTTTTAACAATTTTTGCCTGCATATAAGTGCTCTCAATTTTGGTATATCAAGCGGGAGGCAACATACATAAAATTGAGGGTTTCTTTGCAAGGTCTGGGACCATAAAATAGGTCTCATTCAATAACAAAGATGCAACAAAGATGATCAGGGCACTGGAGGCTAAAACATAGAAGGAACGGTTGCTGGAATTGGGAATGTCTAGTCTAATGAAGAGAAGGACGAGGGGGGACATGATAGCAGTCTTCCAGTATCTCAGGAGCTGCCACAAAGAAGAGGGAGTCAAGCTATCCTCCAAAGCGCCTGAAGGCAGGACAAGAAGCAAAGGATGGAAACTAATCAAGGAGAGAAGCAAACTAGAACTAAGGAGAAACTTCCTGACAGTTAGAACAATTAACCAGTGGAACAACCTGCCTCCAGAAGTGGTGAATGCTCCAACACTGGAAGTTTTTAAGAAGAGACTGGACAGCCATCTGTCCGAAGTGGTATAGGGTTTCCTGCCTGAGCAGGGGGTTGGACTAGATGACCTCCAGGGTCCCTTCCAACTTTATTATTATTATTATTATTATTATTATTATTATTATTATCATTATCATTATCATTATCATTATCATTATCATTATCATCATCATCCCAATATTTACTCAGATAACAGCCGGATTTGTAGCTTTTCTCCTGCAATAAAGGATGTCTAGCCTGGATTGGCTAAACTGAATATGAATCAACCAAGATTCTAGTATTTCAATAGGTCCACCTTTCTCATCCTTTAAGATAGAAACTTTGGGAAAAGTGCAAAGAAGAGCAACTAAGATGATTAAAGGCATGGAGACAAAAACATGTGAAGAACGGTGGCAAGAACTGGGTATGGCCAGTCTAGAGAAAAGAAGGACTGGGGAAGAAATGATAGCAGTCTTCCAGTATTTGGGAGGCTGCCACAAAGAGAAGGGGGGGGGGTCAACTTATTTTCTAAAGCCCCAAAAGGCAAGACAAGAATTAATGGATGGAAACTAATCAAGGAGAGAAGCAACCTGGAATTAAGGAGAAACTTCCTAAGAGTGAGGACAATTAACCAGTGGAACAACCTGCCTCCAGAAGTTGTGGGTGCTCCATCACTGGAGGTTTTTAAGAAGAGATTGGACAGCCATTTGTCTGAAATGGTATAGGACTAGATTACCTCCAAGATCCCTTCCAGCTCTATTCGGATTGATAATGGTTCTGAAACGGAGCAAAATTTGGACATATTCTGGGGGACAACTTGTTTGTGAGTCAAGGGTCCCATTTGGGACTGCAAGGCATTTCTATAAAACAGAATCTGTGATTGGGGTTTTTTTTAGTCCTGGAGATTTTTCTGCAGCATCCGTCGAGTTCATAATTTTGAGGGCTCCTGCGTGCCTCCTCTCCTCCCCCCCCCCATCTCTTCCTTTGCAATCTGGCTGTGCCATATACAAATTCTTGAATTTGCTTACTGAGTGTCTGGCATTTGTTCAACCCCTGGAATGATGAATTGGCCAAGCAGCTGGACTTCTTCATCTAACCAAGGTGAAGACTAACCCATCTTGCTGTGTTTATTTATAATTTACAGTACTCTGCCACCGATTTATTTATTATTGATGTAATCTACCCCTGATTTACATAGCCATCTATCTTGCGAGTGGCAGCTCAGATTGGGGAACACAAGATTAAAAACCAACAAAAACGAAACGAAAGGAACGACAGCAAAATGCAATAATAAACAGAACGGTGCCCAAGGGCGATTGCGCTGAATCCATACAACAGCAGTCATACTAAAAATCAAACTGATGTTATGTTATCCGGTGTATTTAACTGTAATGTGCAAAGACAGTCCTTGTTCCGGGCAAGTAATGTGATTGTCTCGTTCTGTGTTGCTGCTGGCTCAGTTCGGCTTTAAGGTCTTGATAACATGGTTAGCATTTGAGAACTGGGAGCTTGACTCACGAGCAAGCTATTTTTTCAATATTTTGCCTTGTCTTTACTTAAGCAATATGCATCACCAAGGAGTTGCCAACTTGAAAATAAGAACAAGCCCCAAAGCTCTGGATATACAGGCAGTCCTCGACTTATAATGGGTTACTTAGAGACTGTTTGAAGTCCCCTGTCCCATTCGTGTCGGAGGCACCATTTAAAGGCCTTCTGACTTGAAAGGATTAGCCAGTGACATCACTGTGGCCTGTGGGACGCTCATGGGGGCGCCTTTGATGTGCCGTCAAGGAGCTGGAGCAAATGACAGGAGCTCACCCCTCTCCATGGCAGCACTCAAGTCTCGAACGCAGACTTGCTAACAACCTCCAGCCCAGCTCCTAACCATATGAGCCACCAGGCTCCTTCACCATTTGAAGTTAGGATACGGGTAGGCAACCTTGGCTCTTTTATGACTCGTGGACTTCAACTCCCAGAATTCCTGAGCCAGCCACGCTGAGGGGAAAGGGAGAGGTTTCCAAGCTGAGCCATGCTGGCTCAGGAATTCTGGGAGTTGAAGTCCACGAGTCATGAAGGGGCCATAGTTCCCCCATGCTGGCTCAGGAATTCTGGGAGTTGAAGTCCATGAGTCATGAAGGGGCCATAGTTCCCCCATGCTGGCTCAGGAATTCTGGGAGTTGAAGTCCACGAGTCATAAAAGAGCCAAGGTTGCCTACCCCTGGGATAGACCCTTCCTCAAAGATACTTACGACCGGGTTTCAAAGTTCTGATAGCCAGCCCCTACTCCAGCCCCTTCAGTCACAAAACTCACTTAACAAACGTCTCACGGAACAACATAAATTTGGGGCTGAATTGTGGTCG